AGCAAGGCACAGAGATGCAGTAAAGCAGGTCACAAGAGATGACTAAAAATGTAGGGCTATAGTCACTGCCCAGAGCCATCAGAGAAGAGAATACAATTAAGCTCACCACAATTCGCCAAACCCCAGCCTTTTGCAGGCAGGGATGGGGAACGCTCCCCAGCATGCTCGTGATGAGAGGAGAGGGCACTCGCTGCCGGCCGCGGTCCACGCCACGCGTATGAAACGGAGCATCTCGCCTAGCACTCACTCCTGCACATGCAGGTATCAAAATGGCTTGGAGTAAGCACGTTTGAGGATCACAGGTGCTAGGATATGCCAACAAAGTGTCTGGGAAATAAGCCTGCCAGAGAAGGTACCACTGACAAATATTTGCAGGTGCTTTAATTTTACATTTCTTTAGTTTTCATAAAATTTACTTTTCCCATGCAACGCAAGCTTAAATATTTGTTATTTGCACTGCAAATGTTAAAAAAAAAAAAAAGCAGTAAGTTATGGAAAGTCAGGCAGTAAAGTGGGGAATGGAAGCAAGAAACCAGCTTAGAAAAAACAATTATTAAAATTGTCAGAAAAGCATTAGTAGGAGAAATCCCCCAGCAAACTACCTAACACTTCAGTGGAAAGACTGTGTCCCCTAGACAGCCCAGTTATCCTTTCTCCACTTCTTTACCCATGTTCCCTAAATCCAAACAGTCCCAGTCCTTCAATATAAAAAGAATGAATCTCTAAATGCTAAGGACCACTACAAAACTGTCTTGAGATTTCCATCTCTTTATCAGGAATGCTTGTCGATGTTTCCATTTGAAGGAAACAGGGGTTTTGTGGTTTTTAAGTGTTTATTCCTCCTTCGACTGCATGCCCATTTATGAGCCCCACCACGATGTTGCAGCTTGGGTTTGAGCTGGGTACCAACTTTTTATTATTTGTGCTTTCTTTGGTAAAAATCAGGAAAGACTACAACAGAATAGACCTGATTAAATTAGACTTGACCATCATGGAAAGAATGAGCTTTAATCTTACTTCCTTCACCTCTTACTTAATTCCTTCCCTATTCACAGTGGATTTCTCTTTTATTCACTTGAATCGGAATTGACTTCTTTGCTTTAAATTCAGACGTGGGCCAGATTTCTGTTTCCCCCTACAAAGCCCAGCACAGTTCCTGTTTTTCCAGGCCATTTTACGAATGTGCATTCTTGGTTCCAGTTATTATCCAGCCTGACCTCCTAATAGACTAACCAGCCGAGTATCGAAAAGCATCCTCTTTACATATATTAATCTGTTTTCCAACATTCTGGTAGCTTTACCTAAAGACCAGGTCATGCTTTTTATAGGCTCCCATGGTTGCGGCGGTTGTTTGCCCCCCCTGAAAACAAGGTACGATGCTTGTGCTGGTGGCTTCCCTAGGAGATACCCAACACCACTCACTCACTCCTGGTTTCAAGAAGTCGCATTCATCATTAGAAAGGGAAAAGACAGTATGAAATCAGATTATTTGGCCTCACTCTGCTTTATAGCAGGGTACCTTCATGGATTTGCAGACAGTCGCTCCAGATTTAAAGTGGTATAAAAGGGCAGGTCTTGCCCTCATGTTTGCAAAGATACAAGGCCCACTGGAAATGCCGCATCTGAGCTAGGCTGTGAAGACTCAGAACATTTGAGCCAGTTCTGTTTTAAACATAGTGTAGCCTTCTCCTAAAAGCAAGTTAAAAAAAGTCACCCATTTCTAAGTTAGCTTGCAGCCTAATTTTGATCTCTTGGAAGAAAACCAGTTTTAATTAACTTGCTCTGAAAAACAGTGGTTCCCAAACGTTACAGCTGTGACCTCTGTTACATCCCAATGCCCGGTACCACGCTAAATTTAAGAGCGGATTACACCGAGTTTGTTAGATTTATCACCTCACTTACACCAGCTGAAACCTCAAACCTGGTTGTCTCAGGGAATGGTCCCCACTCCCCCACAAATTCACAATCATACTACTTATTTGTATTAAAATAAAATTACCTAAGACAACCATTCTCCGAGCACGTGGAACCCGTAGACAACTTAACAGGTTTAGGTAAATAAAGAAAGATGTCAACTTCCTCACTTACACTTCCCTGAACAACCCTTTCCTCAAGCCAAACCCAAGGTAAGTAAGTTTTTAAACGAAGCCCATTGGACTAGGTAGGCACAAGCACCTTTGCTGATAAACAGCACTAATTAGAATCAAGAGCTACTGAGACAAAACTCAGCTTTACACGAGACATCTGGGGCCCCAGATGCATGTTTCAGGTCTGAAAGTAAACACACAGGCACTGAAACCAATGAACATCCATGGGAAAACTTCATTTTTTAGGATAAGGCCACTGGAATGTAAACAGCAGGGCTGGAATTTAAAGAGACGACTCCAGAAGTATGGATCCTGCATAATCTGATACAATATCAGATAGACACTAACTGCATGAGGAAGAGGAGGTTTGCTTACAGGCACTGAACATGAAGGTTCCCAAGAACAAGCCTGGATCTCCCTGCAAATTCAAGCATTTAACATTCAGTGAGGAGAGGAGAAAAGCAAACAAAAACCAAAAACCAGACACTTTGTTGTACTTTTTTGTTTTTATAGAATTTTTACAATATATTTCTCTTCATTTGCATATTTTACCCACATCTGTAGCTTTCTTTTTACATGTTGAACTGAACTGGAATAAATCTAAAGGTCTGATTTATTTTAAACAACTGATAAAAACTGCAAAGTAGTAAACCTGTAAGAAAAGAAATTATAAAACTCTCTTTAAGTGTTTAATGAAAGCAAGTCAAATGTATCATTAGGAACAACATGGTTTGTTTTAAACACATCATAGGTGATTCAGGCAGGACAACCTTTTTTTTTTATATATATTAGGCACATTTTTTTCAGCATACCTGTTTTCCAGACAGTTTTATACTATTCAATAGTATCATCCACATCCACTTGGAACTGCTGCAGGATTTTCAAAATGTGATTGATCGTGAATATTCATTATTGGTATTCTCTTCCTCTTTCTTTAAGATTATCAGAAGGAAAAAAACAAAATAAAAATCAGTGTTTCTTGTCTCTTAAAAAATCCATAATGAATGATTGAGTTGTAAGGCAGCAACAGATTCAGTGTCAACTCAGGTCACAGTCCTTCAGTTCCATCTAGTGGGTAGAAATTATATATAGTGGACACTGCTCCTAGACAGTCCCTTCAGGGCAAGACGACTGACACACAAGGCCAGTTACTGCTGGTAGAGTAAGTTAAGTGGTATGCCTAGTAAGGAACACTGGCCACTCCTGTGTCATCCTTGCAGCCTCATGTCTTCATACAGAAAGCAAAAAGACAGTCCAACGGGGAAAAAAAAGTGAATATGATAGAGCCATGACAGGTTCTATGAATGGTTTATTTACAGTCTTCATCCCTGATGTGAAAAAAAGAAAAAAGCCTTCTTTGACTAAAACAGGCAGATCTCAGCAGCATGCTACATGCCTTAACAAGTCAGCCCATTGCATATCCTTGACTGCTTAGCCATGGATTCATACGGAGGCAGTGAACAGAAAGTCCTACTGCTCAAGAAGAGCAATTTCAAAATGCTCACCTGTCCCATCAATACGACTCCCTAAAGTAGACTTAAGAATATCTCATCTTGGTGGAGCAACTCCCTGTTCCCAGAATCTGTTCACGCTATTAGAAAGTGTGAAACAGTTGGTTCCTCAGGGATCTTTCATACACCCCTGCAGCGAGACTGGAAACTCAAGTACGTTACTCAGATGTGGGAACAAAGTGATCCATGCATTAAAGATATGCCACAACTCTGATAGTTCCCGTCCCATGGTGATCTCATTCAGGAAGGAAGGAGGGCTTTAACTTTCAACTACAGTACACCTGAGGAGGGGTTTCAGAGCAGTATCTCTGCATCTCCTTTCAGTCTTTGATAAACAGTACGTTTTTCCTGAATTCTGGCATTCCATTTGCTAAGAGGGCCACTCCACTCCTGAAGGCAATGGCTTCAGCATAGTGCTTCTTGGTCTTCAGTTTTAGGTCTTTCAGGCAGAATAATCACATTCCAACTCAACCTCATCCCCTGAAGCAGCATTCATTTTGCACTCACCTGGCTGAACAAAGTCAAAACATCTGAACTACAGCACCAGCGGCCATCCAAAAAAAGGGGCTATATTACTGCACTTTTCCCTCTCAGAGGGAGATTGGACCACCCTTACAATTCCAGCCCCAGCTGACAAGACCATCAATTCAGAGGTCATCCCCCAAAGTGGTGCTCCTGTGCACACTGCACATTGCTACTGAGGCACCACTCACCTTTTTGGACAAGCAAGGTCAATAAGTATAATCCCCTCTGACAGAGCCACTGCCTTTACACAACTTGCATTCAGTTACTGCTAAAGCTTTTGGTTGCCTTTTTTTCATATTCTAATGTTGAGGTGAGGAAGGGGAGAAGAAAATAATCAGCACGAAAAGTTCTCTGAATTCATACTTGGCAAGACTAGCTCTACGTACCGTATAATGGTATACAAAATACACCCCCAAATCCTTCTATGTTCTTTTTAACTCTTTGGAACGGGAATAACCAGCGTAGTTGAGCAGGAAGAAAGCCAATTTATTTCAACATAGAAGGTCTGCAATTCATTCCATGTTCACTAAGAGTAATGCAGTTATTGCTCTGTAAGATAAGCCTGGATTGATCACTAACCCCCACCCTGAGTGCTGGGAGTCTGGGTTCCCAACATTGCCAAGAAGGACCTCCTAAGCCACTGGCATTGAAATAATTAAAAGAAAAAAGCCTCATGACTAATTTCTCATAAAGATGTGATCTTCGGGAAACATGTAAGTTCCTCAATTCTTCATATTACCACAGCTTTGTGAATGGAGGCCAGCCTTTGCTCTCTGGACTAGAATAATGTACTATTTAGAGTTACACATTGGAGATAAATTAAGGTAAGAATAGATGATCCAGCCGATTGAATCAAAGAACAGGAGAAACATTAGCCTCTTGCACGATGATGCTCTGAAACTGAAATCCTTTAACTGCTATGCAAACCACTCAGAATTTGTTTTACAACCTGCAGTTTAGTAAGAATTAAAGTTCTTTTCCTTGGGTAGTAGCCTTCAAAGCAAAAGCAAACATGACAGGACTCAAGCGTGGACCATTTCTGCACCAGCCCACCAGATTCTGGTTTGCCCGTTTCACTTCAGGGATATATAATAGATGCTGCTGGCAGCATCACTCCAAGTTCAGCAGTATTTTCAAAGCTGTCACGTCCATCAATCAAGTTTCCTTGGGAGCAGATGATACCAATGCGGGGGCCTTCCATTCTCATACTTCAGCTACCTTCTTTTGTTTACTTCCTCTGAATAAAAAAAAAAATATTGTTCCGTTTACTCTAACATGCTACAATATGTGCATACATAACTGTAGGCGACACGTGAGTTACTTCAAGATGTGCTTTTTCATTGAAGTGCGCTTTTACTTTTACAAATTCTACATCAAGGTGGAAGGAAGGAAGGCTGCAGAGTGCTCATACACTGAAGATGAAGGAATTTTTCCTGAACGGAGTTAAGATGTTTGTTCCAATGTCCTATGGACAAACTACTCTATCCCATGCACTCCGGCCTGAGCCAGTATTAAACATTCCAGAAACTTGTTGATTTGTTTGGATAGTTAATGGCAAGGCTGATAGCAGCAATGTTTTTCAGGGCCTAGAAGAGAGAAGGAAAACCAAAGTCACATCAAAGATTCTCCTCAATCCAAAACTGTAAAGAAATCCTTGTCTGAAATTAAACAGAAACCGATAACCATCCTGTTTCTATCGGATTGTCTCCTGGCAGTGCAGTAATTGTCATGCATCCCAGCAGTTGCAGCAAGACAACGACACTTCCAGTTGCTCAAAGACCAGCCCCCTTCCCCATTTCCATGTTTTGGCAGCCAAGAGATCAGTTCAGTAAAACAGATAGACCTGATTACACCCAACAGCCAGTTTGTGGCACACCATCTGACTATTCAAGGAGAACAGCATTTGTGCATTGTTCTTCACAAGATTCAGAGGCCTGTCACGGTATTGTAAAGGCCAAGTACATTCATATCTATTTTATAAAACTCTACTGGGCAATCGGAAATCATTCATTATCTCTGTCTGCCAGAAAAATACCACAAAAACATCCGTCTCGGGGGTTGTGCAATCTTATTACCTGTGCTGTGCAGCGATGAAGATGATCTTCAGTATTTAAGGCAAGCAAATACTCCTGTAGAGATCCAAGCTCCTGCAGCCAGAAAGCATTCAATGAACACCAACGTTTCTACCAAAGATATCATCCTACTAATTAACATTAAAATGTTGATCATTATAGCAGTCACCAAGAACCAAAGGTATCAGAACTGCACACAAGTCTCTCCTGGACTAGAACACAGAGAAATCAGTTCATTACAGAGTGTTCATATGTGATGAAGGAAAACCACACTGACATACCTTTAAATTAATTATTAAACTAGCATTTTTCTCAGAATAAAGAGTGGCTTTAGGGCCTACTGCCTTAATCGCACAAGGAAGAATCATGACTACTACTTAAGGTCCCATGATGCACAAGGCAACAGTGTGCCCCTCTCTTAGAATTTGCTACCAGACTCCACAAAAGTTAGTTGTTAATGTTTCTGAAGCGTTTAATTTTTCTAAAGCTCTGACGAACTTTGCCAAAATAAAAGAAAATCACATTTAGAAAATAACACTGAACTACGTCTCGTTCCCAGCACTGGGGAGAGGAGGGATACAAATACAGGAACTGCTTACAGTAACTCTGTTTTCTGTAACAAAGAAGAGTTCTGCAAGGGCACGATGAAGAGGAAGGAGGATACCAGGCTTGGCCATGTCGTGACACAAGTTGTTTTCCATGTGGGTGAAAAGCTGCCAAAGCGGCTTCAACAAGGTGAGGTCACAGTCCCTGAAAAAAAGTCATTTAAATGAAATAGTGAGTAACCACGATCTTATGCCTGTTTCTGGGAGGAAGCGGGAGGGAAACCAAACCAAACCCAAACAAATTTTAGAGAACAAAAACATACAGTTTTGACAGTTAGATGTATACGTGAAGGAAGAAATACAAGAAGTATTTTAAAAATCTAAATTCAGTCAGATGTTTCAGCACAATGAATTTCATTCTGAATCAGTGAAATGGAGAAAACGTCTCATCCATGAATATGTCTAAATGACTTTTCCTAAAACTGAGTGGCCTCCTGAAATAAGAACTTTAAAATAACTACATACATCACTTTGCTAAATGCTCTAGCTCCACTGCTTGAAATTATACAATACTGAACTACAGCACTGAGCAGGTGATGCCCTTCTATAGGGCAGATGGACAAAAACTGATATACAGCTTTACAAACAATTCCAACCCTGCCTCCTGCCTACTCCTGAGTAAGAACTAGCTCACCCAAATGTCACTTATCATACAGAGAGCATGACAAATATCGTTCAGTAGGGGGCAAAAGGGGGAAAACTCAATTTCAGAATCTATCATCAGATTAGCACAAGAAAAATATTAAATATTATAAGCACAACAGAGACTTGGTCTTTTAGCAATTATATTTGTTGTCCACATGACAAAGCAGACATTTTCTAATGAAAAAAACTAAGAGAACTTGAAAAAAATAATAAATCTGTGATTACAAGTAATGTTAAAATCAGTTTTTCCAGACGTGGATGCAGATCCGTGTATCTAAAATTTACAGAGACTCAAGCAATGGTTTTATGTAATTGTCCGTTTTCATTACTATATGTCAATATACTTTTTGACTTCTCTTTATCAAAGTAAGCTAGTAGGATGCTATTGTTCTCATGATTTTGCTTGTTCTGAACTGAAAGGGCATAACAGAGATAAGGGTCCGCGTTCCAGCATTGCTGTGTCTTTGCTTCCAGGATTTCTATGGAGTTAATGTGACTATATACATTTGTAAAACACTATAAAAGCTCAATAATTTTTTTGAATGTGTATTTTCATAAGAAATATCCATACCATACATACGTAAGCATTAGCATACCTATCCCTTCTAAAACTCAATTACACGCTTAGTGGTACAACTACAAATAATAATTTAAAAGTTATTTACTTATTAGAGAATCAGATCATCATTTCACCAGTTTGTTATTCCATTCTCACCTTAATTCCGATGTACAACTAATACAGACAGAATTAAATTTCTAGAAAATTAATTGAAATCTATTTTTTGTCCTATTTCAGGGTGATTATTTTCTTTTCTTTACAACAATATTTGAATTCATTGACTTTTTTCAAAAGCCAATAAAGGTAAAATGTTTTTAAAAAACCCATTACAATACATTTCTACTATCAAGGCACTGTGAATCGTATCCGAAAGGCAACTTAAGAATACCTACTTCAAATCATGGTTTTCTGGCTTCAGAATAATATCAGCTTAGTCACCTTTTCTTCTCCTGCCCTTTGCCTTTTAGTGTGTAACGTAGAACAGCGCACTTACCTCTGGGCGCTGCACTGCACTATCTTCAAGAGCAAGTGGATTGCCTTCAAACGCTGGTGACCAGTCTGACGGCACGCTACCCCGACCTGCCATTCCCAGATTTTGGCCAGCGGGAGGTGAGGAACTACCCTTTCCTCAGACAGCATCTGCTTTAGAATTTCAAACCCTGGAAAAAAAAAAATTCAAACAGCTGTTACTTTTGTAGTGACACCATTCTGTTCATATATTCAGTTTTATCTTCTCCTTATACTAAGTATTGCTCTGGCAAGCAAGAAATATTGAAGAAAAATACCAAACAAAAACCTGAGATAACTCTAGATTACATCCTGACATCACAAGTCTTTTCTGGGGCAAAACTTAGATAAAAATTAGAAAGAATCCTATCTGAAATTAAAGTTTTGCCCAAAGCAAGCAAACAAAACACAGGTCCTCACTATTATGTGATATGCAGCAGAGTTTTGCTGATGGCAAATCATACACCAGCCTCAGTTTTATCAAAAATATTTGAACTCTAAAATAAACAAAATTTACATGCTATGTATCTAAAAATTAGATCCAGAACCAGCCTATTTTAATGGATAACTGCTTTTAAAAAACACAATTACAATTATTTCTGTTTCCAATTACAGCACCTTGGAGTGTTTACTAAATCCTGTGTGCAATTACTGTCATATGAGACTTTGAACGCAAATAACATTATTATAATTCTTATCTCCAAGTCTCTGTGAAGATTTTGTATTTCCAGCATAGTCACAGCAAGGAAGAGACAAGTTTCAAATTGAACAAAACTAATCACATTATTTCCAAAACACTAGAGAAAGCAAATTTTATGTCAAAAAAAGGGATAATCACAAGTGTGTCAAAGCTCAGCAAAATAACTCCAAAAAGTCCTGTCCAATAGATTCTGAGCAGCGCTCACCTGTCTGAAACCTTCCAAGATGACCTGCTGTCACCGTAAACTTATAACCCCACTCAGTGTTACTCATGTCAGAAGTAAATCGGTAATAGAGTGTGTCTCCTGCGTACAAGGGAAGGAAGAAAATCCACATTACTACCTTCCAAGTTAGTTTTGCTACCATAAATACAATTCAAATGAAAAGTCTCTCATAAATTAATCCTAGACATCATTATTGAAGAGAGGTAATCTTTTACTTTTTGGTGACTATGAAAAGCATAGAATAGTATGATAAACAGGGGGCTGAACCAAAACCAGATTGGTTTCCATTGTATAAAGATACTTACAAGCATAATGCCTCTTACATTTTTGTCAACTACATAGATGAAGAAGGAGTTAAAGAAACTCTATACTGTACACAGCTGAACTTCACTTTTCCAACTGTGTTATGGATCAGTTATGATTTATGAAAAAAGAACCTCTACACAGGCAGCCAAGTTCACAGTCCATTAAACAAAAGGTTAAAAAAAAATGTGAAAGTGAAGTTGCACTGCTTTTGTATGTCAGAAAATCAAATTGCACACTTTTACTCTAGGGAACAAAACTGTTTAACTTAATCAAAGTGGAAGAACTATCAAAATGTTTGACCATTTTACAATCAGGTAGTGGAACATTCAAGAAGTTCTTGTCATTGTAGCACCTACCGCTTCACAGAGATAAACACTGGTAGTTAGTTGTAACGCTAAACAAAACATATCCTTACCTACTGTGCTCTGTAATATTAGATCTAGTTAAAACTTAGAATTTCCTTCTGTTCCATGAAAAATCCTATTACCCTGGGACAAGCAGTCTAGTTTTCATTGGGAAGCAGAATTTTCAATGTTTCACAAAGAAGAAAAACTTTGAAAACATTTTTTAGGATTTAAAAAAAAAAAATAATAAATTTGTCTAAAAACCCGTTCCCCTTTTCATCACAAAATGGAGCTATTGCTCTCTCCTTCTCCCAGGAGTCTTGAGAAAGGTCTGCCATCAAATGAAAAGCCCAGAAGTCTTCAAACGCCTGTTTTCAGCTAAAGCCTGTTGAGTGAAATCCAAAGCCTTAATCCAGACAGCCTTGGCTGGAAATGAATTTTCACAAGGTGAAACTCAAGTTTCACAGCCAAGGCTGCTCCAAAACAATGGGCCTCAAAGTTCAGTTTCTTGGCAAACCTCTGCAACAATTTGGGAGGAAAAGGAGGACAGAAAGAAGATCATAAAAATGCAAAATATTTCTACAGAGCACACATTTGTTTCTAACTAGCACCTTGTAACCTAAACTGGTTTGCTAAGAAAGTTCCTAAATCTATTTACAGCTACTGACAGTACTTGAAGTTAAAAGCTTCTTGCAATGCCACAGCGCTCAGTGGGTTAAAACAACTGAACAGAAGAAGCAGGGGACCATGCAGTCCTTCAGATCACTGGCATCTGCTACTGTGTTATCAAAAATGCGCTTAGAGAATACAGACTGGAGTTGTCAGCTAAATGACTGATTTTTTTTCAGCTGTGCTCTGTGGCAACAACTGGAGACAAGGCATTGGCACACACTCTTCGTTTGCTCTGAGCACTACTATAGTACAGAGACAAGAGATAAGCCTATCTTATTTCTTTTTTTTTTTTTAATGTGCTTCCTGTGGAAAGTAACACAAGGCAGAACAATGTAAGTGAATACCGTGCAGAACAAGGACTGTGTTGGAACAGAATCAAGATGTTTCCAGTAGCTAAGTGCATGCTTTGACTGAGGCATGGAAAAAAAAGGTCAAGTAGCAGAACAACAGATAAGCCTACTTTTAAGAAACAAATGCAAGAGTAGCGCGTCAGAGCAAAGAGATTGGGACAAGAACAGGATTCCACCCCCCATCTCAGGAACATCCACATTTAACTGTCATCTTTCAGTAGTTTCTCTCCGGAGTCCTGGATACCAGCAATATCCTATACATTTGCACTTGGAAACACTGCACATTCACCTGGAAGCTCAAAATCATTCCATTTCTGTGGAGACCCACTGAAGCTGTGCCGATCCTGCTGGAAATCACTGCTGCTAGACATGAGCAACTCATCACAGCCTTCTTCTGTATTACACTGAGAGTCAAATTTGATTGAGAGGTAGATAGCACCGGGAATGTGAACTTTATCCTGAGAAATAAACACATGACCTTTGTTTACTGTAATGCTATATTACCAAGAAGCTACTTATACTTTCACCATACAAACAAGGGAGATGTAACAAATATTACAGCATCTCCACGGAAAAAAAAACCCTCTTTGATATTTTTATCCAGAGCTAATTTAACAAATGTAAAGCATGGCCTTTTGTCTGCATTAGCTGTTAAGCATGTAAAATTAATTGCTAGTAATGCTTTGGTTTTTTGAAAGTGGCAATTATTGCTGATATCGATCTCATTGCCAGAACCTAAAGGTTTGTATGCATTTTAAAAATAAAAATCAGAAGAGCCAGAGCTGCAGGGAAATTAAAAATCCCAAGACTGTCCAGAGGCAATAATTACTTACCAAACTATATTAGAAAAATACTTTCAAACAATATCAGGAAAAGAAAATCAGAAACTGTTTGTGTCAGAAGAAGATAGTCTAAAGTAAGAAATACATGAAAAAAAGATTCCACTCCCAGCTTTCGTTTAACAGCACAAGGAAGTAACAGGCCAACTGAAACAGACCTTTGGATGAAAGGGTAGAAATATTTCATCATTAAGGCCCTGAAATCATTTAAGAATATGATCTGTTTCAAACACATGCATAGTAAAACCATTTAAGTCATGCACTTTTCACATGATTGAATTAGGAGCACATTAAAGTGCCTTACTGAGCATATTTCTTTACAGGGCAAGGCCTCAGTCACCTGGTGTCAGCCTTTTCAAAAGCAAGGCTCAACAGGTATTTCACAGGTGCTCCAAGCACAGAGGACCCACAGGTATACACACGGAACATTGTGAGACTTCTGCTCCAACCACTTTGATGATTTTCAACTAGTCTTCAAGTCATGCAAAACCACTGCACTGTAATACACGTATAACTTACCTCAAAATTAGTATTGTTGTTATAAGGATGTTTAGATTCACGCATCTGGACTGCCATTCCGGGTTCCTCCATGAACTGGCAAGCTGTCAATGCCATTGTTCCTAGCATGCTCTCATTGCACCCATGCAGTACTTTCTGTAGAATCTGGGGCAAAGCAACACATCGTGTAAATACAATTTGCTATCAAAACAACATTTACAAACTTATATGCTGATGCCTGACACGAGTCATTTCTAGCCACACAACATTTCACAACAGAGAATCGAGCAACTAGCAAGAATCAAGACAAATTCACAAATGATGTCTACAATTGTCATCCCCATAAGTGCAGAAGATTTTACTCTGTCCTCTGTTCCAGATCATTCAGTCTTTATCTGATAAAAACGCGCAAGCTATTAGCTACATTTCTTTCTACAAATGCTAGAATCAAGGCTAATCCATAAAATAATTAACAGTAAACTAAAGTCATAAACAAGGAAGATAAACAACTTCATTAACATACTAAAGACACCTTTACCTTCTATACCTACAGGTTTTGATTTGTACAGAATATGTCTTATGTTTTAGCCTTCAAAACGTACAACTCCATGTATGAGAAGGAATGATTAAGTATCAGGTAAGTGGCTGCAGTGTTTGAAAGCACTAGATGTAAGAGCTGTGTCTTTAAAAATACAAATAAATGCCATCTAGTCTATCATACTAAATGGTAATTCAGAACAAGCGGAGTCTCCACTTTTTCTTATTTTTTCAAAAGTGCGCAAAAGCTCTGAATCAGGAGTCCAGCTATTCGAGGCCCTTTCCAGGTCATTATAGCAACCTATTACACCTCTTCACCTGCAATTTTCTAAGCCCTCCTATAAAATGTAATACTAGCTCAGACCAAAAGGTTCATCTCCAAATCAGCCAAAAATTGATTTCTTGGGGAAAAGGCGTTTAAAAAACAAAGGCAGTATGTAGCATAGTTCCCTGAATGTGTTCTTTGCCTCCACACGCTTGCAGAATAGCCTAAGACAAAGGCTACACTTTTCTATTTAATGTGTCTTAACAGATTTTTCTATTCTATCAGTTCATCCTGCCATTTTCTGAACCTATATAAACACCCTGTGGCAACCATTTCAACAACATACTGTGTCAAGAACCAGTTCTCTTGGTTTGTTTTGGACCTGCCACTTATTACCTTAATCTGACACTCCTTTGTTTTCTTACTGGGAGGGCCAGTGAATAATACATGCTGTTAACTTTTGTATGCTGCTTACTGTTTTAAAACTACAGAGAAAGAGGAACAGACTTTTTCATCACTCTTCCTCCCTCAATGTCCCCACAGGACAAAGATCCAGGCTGAAGAAAACTAGTTGGTTCCTCATACTGAAGTTATTCCATGCCTATAATAATCTCTGCCACTCTTCTCCAGATCTCTTCCAGTTGTACTGCATCGTTTTTTGTTTGTTTTTTTTTTTTTAATGAGATGAGGGAGTCAGATCACACACCGTAGTCCAGATGAGAGCATACTATTGGTTCAGTGGCATACCCATGACTTCCATTTTATTTTTAATTCCTTCTTTGAAGACTCCCAGCACTTGATTTGCTTCGACTGCTGTGAAGCACTGAGCTGACATTCTCATTACAACATTCTATTATAATTCCAAGATCACTTCCACCACAGTAACAGTCAGCTCATCAATGGAGTAGCAGATATTACAATACACACATTGAGATCTAACAAAAAGCAGCTTTCAAAACAGACTGCCTATTTTACCAATCTCTCTAACATTTATTTTCCCATATAGGTCTTTCCTAACTGAAAGAGTTGTCTTCGCAGAGCTAGTTTTTCCACTTTCTGTTAAGAAAAACCAATACATTAAGACACTGACAGATTCCAACTGCTTTTTCAGAACTAATTTAAATTCTGGAGTTTCAATTTAGTTTAAAAACGGAACCGCAAGTATTTTTGTTAGTCAGAGTCTCATGGGTGGAGTTTCAATTTAGTTTAAAAATGGAACCACAAGTATTTTTGTTAGTCAGAGTCTCATGGCATGTAGGCACAGGGCTTGTTCACATGCATAAGTGAAATCCACTTACTTTTTCCCATAACTGCTTTTCCTCTAGCTGCATAAGCATGTCCAGTATGTACGTCATATGGGCTGGGCCACAAAGATCTAGGATTTCCTCATTTATTGCCACATCATCTGGCCACTCAGCTAACAATGATGCCAGCACATGCCTGGCATAAAGAACAGCAGTTGCCTCATTGACACGATACAGGTAGTCCCTCACTGCCTTTTTACTTCTAGAGTCGAGCTCCTTGTGCAGGAGTATTGAACTCTTAGTGCGACGTTGCTTGGCATAACTAAGCTGTAGATCACTCTCTGTGTTGGTTATTAGTTTCTGGGCAACTGGATTGGTTTCTTCTGTTGCTTTATCACAGAGCGCAGGCTTTGACTGCAAAAAAAGAAACACAAGTTTGAAAACAGACTCTCAACAATTTAATTCCTTATGTTTGGATATCTCACCTGTCCATCAGACGGCAAGCTGAATTTACAAATGAATTTTTATATACTGTAAATCAAACGCATCAAAGAACACAAGTATGATCTCTCGTACACCTACAGCAAACAGATTCCTCAAAGACTGTTTATGTCAACGGACTTCACTATACACTGATGTATTCCTGACTATACACGAGTGGAAACAGCAATTAGAATTCTAACCCAAAGCGTTAATTTAAGTTGACCTACAGAGGCAAAGCAACAAAGTGCCATGCTATCTGTGACACAGAAAGAGGCAAGTTGGGAGGGACCTTTGGAGATCATTTGGTCCAAATCCAACTTAAAACTGAGACAACTTCAAAATTAAAGTTTTGTCCAGTTAAGCCTGGAGAATTTCCAGAGGTGGATATTTCACAGTCACTGTATAAGCTGTTGTAAGGCCTATTTTTTTTTTTTCCTTATAATTATGATACTAGTTCAGGAAGTCCTTGTCTATCAGTTGCATAGCAAAATGGATCAACTGTGCTGGTGATACCACACGGCCAGGAATCAGCACCCAAGATAACGCAAAGAGCTGTGGGACCATGTTATTGAATGCAAAACCTAAAGTTTGCAAGTGTAGTGTCTACTTTACACGACAAATTCATGGCTTCCTTGTTCTGTTGAAATTACTGGAAGATAACAATGATATGCTAGAACACCAACACTTATGGCACAAGCTTACAGTAATTAGATACAATCTCTCTTGTATAAGGAGAGGAAATTACAGCATGCAATCACAATTTGTTCTCCTGATCTGAGAATCAAGTTCTCTTACTTCCTTAAGGAAGAAATTACAAGAAAGAAGTATTTGCTGCTTCTTGTACCTGCTCATTCATTTTGACACAAAACTTTAACAGATTATTTCAGATGTTGAAAAAAATGTCAGGTTTGAAGTTACTAAACAAAACTGAAGTTACTCCATGCCTAAATTATTTTACAATTGCTCCTTTTTGTGGAGATACACATACCAAACATGGTAAGATGATCATATCTGTATCTACTGCTTTTGAACTCTGCTCCTCCAACCTCAAACGTTTGCTGGGTTGCCATTTCTGAGCCAGTGTTCGGATCCTCTCATCTGTTGTAATTACATCTCCATCAAACCTTAAGAGAGGCAAAAAAAACCAAAACCAAAACATCAACACAAACCACAATGTGTTTTGAAAGTAATGCAAAACTAAATCAGTGCAATTATGTGCAAATTAAGTCTTCCAACCTTCTGTTTTAGAAAGATTCATTAATATGATAAAAATAGGTAGAGTTTATGGTAACTAGCTTCCCTGTTCTAACAAGTCAAAGGTTTTAAATGTTATAAAATTGCTCATCTCTGTGAGAACATGGTGGTTCCATGACATGCTTTGATCACTGGAAGCCGCATGTAAGCTCTCCATTCTTCCTCAGTTAGGATAATTTAGAGACATAGTAAATCTTCATACAGTAGTTATCATATTGAAAAGAACATGCAACGTATTTCAGAAAATGGTGACTTGTTTCCATAAATACCGCTTAGTAGGAGTTTATTTCCTTACTTTTTCACACATGAAAACCAAATCGTATCCTAGTTTTTAGGTTACCACTCACATCTAGTAACTTTGTCACTTTATCTTTCTGCTGGACCCAGTCTTTCACATACCTCTTTTGAACTTCCAGGAAAAAAGAATCTGTTCTTTTCATTTGCAACTCATACATGGCTCGAAGAATATGGAGAGGTGCATTAAGTGCATCATGTGTCATCTGAGCAAGGAGAGACACACACCAAAAAAAAAAGAAAAGAAAAGAAAAGAGAAAGATGGTATTACAGGGGGAAAAGAAAGATGCGTTTCTTCAAGGATAACCTAGGTATTATTTTCCCACTTATCATATAGGTAGGGAACTAATGAACTTAATATCTGGATTAGTAGAAATGAAAAGTAATTTAGCAAAAAGCTTTATAATGATTTTGTAGTCTTCATTACTGTAGTTCTAGTTTATTTCCTTTAGATAACGATACATTGAAATCATAGACCCATATTCTGTACATTTAGAAGAAAAACAGCCATATAACTACCAAATATTTTATGCAACTAGCAAATTTACAGTAACTTCAAAGGAGGTAAAGTTAAGTTTACCAAGAAGCATATTTTGGTGGCTTCATCCAAACCCTCCAGAGGGTCAAGTTTGTTCTGCTCTAAATCACCAGGACCGACAATGGGTTGCTCCACATCTTGATCTTGTTCCCTTTCTTCCAGTTCAGTATCCTCACGTTCAGCCAGGGAACTGATCTCTTTCTTTGAGGAGTACAGCATTATTGACAAAATCTACACAGAAAAAAGGTAGCATATGGTGTGACAGCTGTAAGTATTATTAGCGTATATGCAATCAGCATTTTATAAGAACATTATAAGACTTGGACAGTGTTTAACACACGCTATTCTAAAAAGCAGCAGCACCTAAAAAAAGAAAATTAAAAAAACCAAAACAACACACAACCAAACCACTTCCCACTTCACAAATGAGTTACACCTTCCAGGCTGCTACAAAGGCAACTTAAGTTATTAGTTGAAAGTGTAAAAAATTGATAAAACAATCATTTAACCATGTCAGTACATCAAAGGTTTGAGGATTCTTAGACAAGAACAGAGCAGAGGTTACTATTACCAAAAAGCCAGCAATGCCCCTACACACTCTTCTCCTTTGAAAACATACCTTTGGCTTCAGCACAGCTAACAACACTAGTACTCATAACAGGAAGAAAATAATGTTACACACTTCCTTGGTCCTCCAATTTGTGTCAGCCTCAGTTCTGCGGAGTAAGATGGGCAGAGCTATGGCAAGACATTTTAGTGCTCAGGGCAGAACATTCATTTGGTTCGATGCTGCCCAAAGTGGAAGAAGGTGGGACGCCTCTGAGACAGGGCTGGTTCTCTGGCTGTAGGTCAGGAGGCAGGAAAATCCCACAGTCCAGATCTGATTCTGCAGTATTTCTAATCAACCACTTGGGATAACTTTTCAGAGGAATTCCAGGGCTTTACTCTTTCTCTCTTGTTGCTACAGTCCCAAGTACGAATTAACACAACTCTTGCCTGTGATAAAACATCACTAACAGTTGAACCACGCTTACCTTCCAGCAATTAAAAACATTCAGGATCCGCATGCATATTGATCTCTTCATATTGCACTGCAGTAATACTTCGTACATGTCAGTGAGTAATGCAAGTAATGTTTTTCTTTGAAATTAATGATTATTTTTTAAATTGAAGAATAGTATTTTCAAGAACAGCCTAAATAAATTTCATAAAAGAAACTGAGTATGTGATTAATGCCTCATCTTGCAAATTTCTTTCAAATACAACCAGATTAATTAAAATCAGCTCCTGCTTTAAAGAAGTTAGACTATTATCCACATGATTATGATGGACAGAGGAAGATACCTTCAGGGATACAGTTAACTGAATATTTTTATGTTAGTTAGTCTAGTTATGTTAGTCTAATTAGTCTAGACTAACTAGAAATACTCTTGAGACTTTTGTCACAAAAGGGAAGTGCAGTGCCATAACCTTTCATGCCACTGTGTAAAACCCGACTTTTTACAAAACATAACTCTTCTTACCTCCAGGTCTCTGAGAAGCCAGGTCTTACTGAAGCCAGTTCCTTTGCTACATTTCTTCACTAGCAGCTTGAGTAAACCAGACTGAAGAAAGGCAGCTTGGATCTCTTTAAAGCCATGAATCTACACACACAGACACACAAAAAAATAAGTAAAAAGGGAACAATGCATCACAATGCTTGCAAGGCCTTATCACATGGCCTCAGCTAAATTTCCCGCCCAGACGAACTATGCTGGGAATCTTTTTCTTTAACTTTCCTAAAAACCTCCGAAATATAAATTCTCACTTCAAATACCTTAAGAGAATTATTTATGATACACACAGAGTAGTAATTGGGTATCTGTTTTGCTTCAACAGTTCAAAAAAATACAGATGCCCTCTTCAAATACTTCAGGAGTAAGAAAAGAGGCAAGTGAGCTTCACTCCATAAAGTGTTATCCCTATAAATTTCTTCTTCAGCTTTCATGAAAGTTGGATCGCTTTTCCTCTGTGGGGGCTGACCATTCAACTCAGACTCACAAATGCTATTTAAAGCCTAGCAACATTTTCAACTCCCAACAGACAGGGGATAAAAGAAGCCAGCTGAGAGAGAAATGAAGTTATGTTAGTTCCCCACTGTGCTCAGTCAAGACCCAAGTTCCTGTAGTGCAAGGTAGAATACGAACTTTTATTTATCTATTATATTCTACGTGTCAGACAAAAGATACCTTAAGTGTTCTGTAAAGCCCCTTTAGAGCAAGTGACAAGACCCAAGTTGCTTCCACTGCCTCAGCATAGCTACTGTCCATGCTGGTTTGCAGAAGGTGCGTGGATATAAGAACAAAGTGCTGGAGGTACTGTCTCAATTGGGTCTGGGAATCACTGCCTTCTTGTCCACATTTCTGAATCAACTGATAGTCTTTCACTACAAGAGAGGAAAAAACAAAACAAAACCTACAATTCACTAGGTTCATCTTAAAATGTTGTGAAATCGTCTCTTACCAGTAGATACGACTAGGCTGAGACATGAACGTGATCCATGCATGAAGTATGTTCTAATAATGGTCTTCTACTAAAATTATCTCAGATTCATTGAATAGTCAAGAAAATATTTCAATTTTCAATGCAAGTTAAAAAACCCCTAGGTAACTTCTGGCAACAGCTGATTGTCTGCATATATTTGCACATAAACAGCACAGCATACAAAGCAGGACATGTTGCGTTTTACAATTGAAATGGGGAAAATTCTGACCTGCAATTGATATGATGAAATAAATCTTGCTGATCTTACTGATTAAAATGTCAACAGTAAAAAAAAAAAAAAAGAAGCTTTTCTATTCAAATCTTTCTTCAATATCAAAAAGCAGTTTAAGTCTGTTGATTTTTCCAAGTGTCTTTTAAACAACTTCAATAGTCAAACCTTAGTCAATAGGACAATCTTTGCTTTATTAACTTCACAATGTTAGGTCATGTATGCCAAAGCTGAAAGCCCTTGCACCTAGAAATCCAACTGATTTGTTATATGTTAAACATTTAGCTTGACTAACTTTTAAACAAGGTGAATACAGGAAGACAAGTCTCTCTGGTACAATGGATGGGACCCAGGAGGCAGCATCTAGCTCTGGGTTTTTGTTGTTGTTTTCTGGTGGGTTTTGCTGTTGCGGTTTTTCTAATAGCCTTGAGACGCTATAATAGGCAACACACTCTACCGATGTGCCCTAGAACTGATTATTCTAAAACATGCAGACATGTTTCCTGGACCATACACTATTTCTTGCTGTATAGCTTTTTTTATTTTTTTGTCTCAAATTTTAGGGGTATCCAAACTGTTTTGAAAAGTTCTTCCAGACAGGAGGAAAGCAGAGAAGATAGACTCCTGAGATTTTATAAAGCACATGATTAAAGAAGTTAGGCCTGTCCTCATGGCATGCTTTTTTACAGGACCAGGAAAAAACAGACAACACAGCACCATTTCAGAAGCAATCAATCAATAATGGGTATGTTTGTGTTTGTTCTTGGTCTTCATTTGCTAGTAGGTAGCACATCTTGCCCACAGTGGAAACAGGCACTTCATAAAAAAAGCAGAGTATTTTTTGAGCAACAGAATTGACTAACCCAAAAACGTCCAGGCTCTGAGTACCTTTCCTTTACATAGCAGCACCTAACTAGACAGAGGTGGCATGTACATTTTTTAAATTGGCAATTGTTTTAAAACAGTAAGCACGTTTGTAAAGGATAAGACACAAACAGTAAGCAAATCTCAAAACAGAAACAATTGCTTAATCAAAAGCCTGTTTCTGGGGTTTCTCAATAAAATGGTCTCATCAGTTTCCTAAATCCTTTTCTGAATAAAAATAAATGTCAGTTCTAAAAAGAAAGTGAGTCTCCATAATCTTTACTGCAGAAGCTTCACAATTTGGTTTAACATACAGGCAGAAAATCAGGCGACTTACTAATAAAAGAATTCAAACGCTGCAAACCTGCACAAAGTGGTCTAGTTAAAATATGCTTTTGGGCATCCATAAGAAACTGTAAGGAAATACTCTGTGATTCTTTGATAAAATAAAAATGTCACAGAACCTGTTTTTCTCTTTCGGGTTTTGATGTCTACTACAACTGCCCTGTTTTTCTCAGTGAAATGCTTCAGGATGATCACATTATGAGGCTCATTAGCATTATCCATGTACACAGAACGAGTCCCCATACACAGCACCTGAAATTGCAGCAAAGGTTTCAGTTATGATTTGGAATACTTATTTGTATTTACACAGTCATCTTTTATATCGGTTACATTTGCTTATACTTGGTATTGTATTTTTTTTGGTTGAACAATCTACTTGCTGTCAGGTATTTGCTGATCTTTAGAAAATGGCAGTTCACTTCTAGAAAAAAATTGCCTACAACAACCAACTTAATGCTACATAGGCAATATATCAGAGTTATGACTATCAAGAGTGAGATTGGGTTGTTTCGCTTGTATAAGCAGCCCTTTCTGATATTCAAACATACTAAGCTGATTTTTTTTCGGTTGAACAATCTACTTGCTGTCAAGTATTTGCTGATCTTTAGAAAACGGCAGTTCACTTCTAGAAAAAAAATTGCCTACAACAACCAACTTAATGCTACATAGGCAATATATCAGAGTTATGACTATCAAGAGTGAGATTGGGTTGTTTCGCTTGTATAAGCAGCCCTTTCTGATATTCAAACATACTAAGCTGGTTTTCTCGTGATAGTTATAAGTAACACTCAAAGAAATGCAAGGCAAAACCAGCTACATTATTCTTCACTAGATAAACGTTAATTGTGTGCAAGTGGAAAGATGTGAACTCTGACATAAACCGTGTTTTGACAGTTTATAAAGATGTCCCCAATTGATGAAATCTGTTGTATTTAGAAATAGTAACCTAAAAGCTCTAACCAATTTCGTTTCCTTTAGTACTGATAGGCCACTTACCTCGGGAAACCCAACTAGCACCAATAAAGTGAAGATATTGGTGTGTTTTAGCTGGAAGGGCAGTTGCTTAACGCAATGGTCAGTGAAAGCAGCGATCACATTATGCCACTGCGCAGAAGAGTTCAAAGATCGAAGAATATCTGCCATGGAGCTTGCCCAGTCCAGAAAAAGGAAAGCAAGAGCAGTCTGTATTAGGACGGTTGACTACAGACTTACCTGAAACTGTTTTTCCTGAAGACAGAGTATCACTTTTAATCTGTCATAGCTATAGCTTTCATATAATTATATAACTGTTCTTCCAAATATTTGAAGTTTTCAGAATTCTGTTTTGTTCTTCATCACTAGAGCATAAATACTACTCTGCTTTCTTAAAGGATTTACAGTCCCAAATCAAAGCGTGCCTGAATGCTGTCACCTTTAACTCCTAATTTTAGTTTAGAGCTCAGACATTTCTCTTCGCACAACAGCAAGCAGTTTATTTCCCACATACGTGACCACCTGTTCTCCCTCTGTGGACTACACAAATAATCTAGAGAGACTGGCCTCTTTGCTCTAAAGCTAGTCTTAGGAAAGTGCTTTCGCTCAGCTGATCCTCTGGATATTCTGTCTTTAAATTTCACATGCTTTTCTATTTGTTTATGAACCTTCTATTTCTATTTGTTTATGAACCTTCCCTGTGAAACATAGCTACAATGAAAAATAACACTGTCATATTTAATAGGTATGACATTAACCTTAGAATGCTCGAGAGCTTTCTCAAGATCCTCAAAATGGAAGATCTGCCCTGACTCTTCTTGCTGTTTCCCGTGCAATTTTACTATACAAAAATATCCCCCTCTAATACTCTTACATAAAAGGGCCAGAACCAGAACTTAGCACTGCTGATAGTTACCACATGACACATTCTCCTCCTTTCCCAAGTCACACAAGAGATATGTGACCCAATGGGAGAGAATTAATGTCATATAAAAAAAAATATAGGACTGTATTTTGGTTTTCCTCGAAGTTTCCAAATCTTACTTCTTCCCACATAACATGCTACATAGGTAAGCACAGGAAATGAAGCCACTCTTCAAGAGAGAGCCTTCTTTTGGAAGGAAATTAAGAGATTCTCATTGCAACAAGGGCTGCAGATGATCAGGGTACAGGTCTAATCGACTTTCTATTAAAAAGCCTCTATGCATAAGGCATACATGAAAGGAAATTAGTATTAGTCATCAGAGAGCAAATGATAGATTTAAAGTAAAAAGCACCTGTCTAAACACACAGCTCCCAGACTGAACAGAAGATGAGTTGTCTTCCAGCCTTCTGGAACTGTAGATCCATCTCCCGCAGCAAATAAATTATGTTTGGCTGAAAGGACTTTAGCCACCGCAGCATCCACTTCTGCAGGCCTAAGTCTCAGGATTAACTGGCCCAGAAGTCCCAATGTTAAATGATAAGTTTCATTTAGGTGGCCAGCATTGGAGATTACAACCTGAAACATCAGTGGAAGTATTTGCTCCAAGTTAATCAAAGACATTGTGGAACCCTACAGAAAAAGAAAAATCTCCGTAAGGCAGGGAAAGAAAACAAGATTTTTAGTCAAAGTCATAGCACATACAAAAGGTTCTGTTCTAATGCTCTTTCAAATGGGACAAAAGGAATCTACTTTCTCGTTTCCTACTTTGGTTGTTGACCTGTTAAGCTGACCTGACACATAAATCTAAGTTGATGATTTAACTTTGCAGGTGTTGAACAGTTAAGATAGACTGCTTTACAGGTAAGTTAAAATTCCCTTCCCTCTCTTCCACCCAGGAAGAAGCCCTTACATTCCTTAGTAATGTGAAATGTCTTAAGACATTCCGATTCGCATTTTATAACATGTAAGCAACAAGAGCCCATCTCCCACATTTAATTCGCTATGAATTTTATTCATGTTATTTGTGACACCTAGAAAACTACACAGATTGAAAGTAAAAATAACTAACTGATTTGAAAGGTGGTAACATAGCTGCCAGCAGTCCTAGAATCCTCTTCTGAGAGCATTCAGCAAAAACTTGTTCCTGGCTAGGTATTAAAACCTTCTCTGCTTGCTTCTGGGCTGAATCCTCCGAGAGGTAGTCATCTGCTTTTTAAATTAAAACAAAAGAAGAAAATCCCCCAAACTGTAGTTAAAAATAAAAGAAATAAGTGATAGCTTAATTTCTATAATTACAATCTAAGGATAAAAAAAAACTTAAAAAAATTTATTAAAATTTGAAAAGCAAGTCTTAATAAAACTGTATAAAAGATAGTAGGTAAAGAGATTTACACCATTTATGAAAAAACATATAAAGGACAGTACTAGAGACAGATTCATTTAACTATCATAATTCTTACAATATTAGTCTTTAATAAAATAAAACACTTAATTTCTGGTTCCGGATACTTATACTTGTGTACAAGAATACACAAGTACTGTGTTAGACCAACAGGAACTATAATCTGTATACATGGTTATGTATCAGTGGAATTCTACTCTGATATTTAGAATCCTTTAAACCGACTGCAAGGTAGCAGTTGTTCAAAGCAGTAGGTTTGGCAGGTTTTTACAAAGCAGACAGCTCGCTTGCGTTAAAGACATTTGCAAATATGCAAAAATGGGTTAGGAATAAAAAAAAAAAATACAGCTGTTTGCTTTGCATGTGAATAGATATTTCTGTGACAGGGAAAATGATAAATAATTTTTTTACCTGTTGCAGAAACATTATCATCCACAGACAAGTCTGACTCTTGTCTCAAAACAGCTTTCTTTGCAAAGACAGCTTTGCTTTCACTTCCTTGTTTTCCTACTTTATCTTCTGCAGGAGACAGGATTTCATTCCGAGTATCTCCTTTCCCCTAAAAATAAAACAAACGTACTAAAAGATTAAAACAAAATTTAATACCTGCAGAAACAACCACGGAAAGAAGCAGCCAGTCATTCGCATTTGACATTTTTCCTCAAACATCGAAACCTTTTATTAGTTAAGAATTTCTCGATGTATACATGTCTTAAGATTCCATACAGTGAAAATACATTTTTCTATTTTGTTTGTATCTCCGTGCATAAAATTACTATGCTGTAACAGTTTTATACACTGTATAAGACTGTAGGAAACTCACTGTCCTATCTAAACAGTGCTAAAAACTAGGGGAAACGACAACCCTTTCGGAAAGAACAAGCTTTGCCCCTTCCCTCCAACGCTTTGGTGAATCAGTTGCCTGTAAGAACATAAGGTGATGCCTTCGTCTTTAATCAGCTGAATGTAATAAAAATGAACCAACCAACAACTGTGCCCATGCCCCGCAACTTTTACCTACAAATGAAATCATTACTATCTGTTATTTCAGTAACACATGCAGAATAGGATGTTTAAGCTTCTGAAGATCACACATCTAATTGATATCAGGGGTTCTGGAAATAATGGGTACTTACATTGCAATGCATAAAAGAGCCTGTGCTTGGTTTCTCATCTCTTCCCTTCACTGCCTTATCACCAGCGTGACTTTTTGGAGCACCATCTGTGGAAGGACTAACTGAAACACTGTCGTTCTCCGAGAAGGATTCACCTTCTGGTAACATGCAGAGGAGAGCTAAATTTTTCAGACCTGAAAGCAAGAAAGTTATAAAAGGTAGTTAGCTGTTGAGTGGCAAGATCGGCAAAAAGCAGAACTGAAACATTTTGAAAGAGAACTGCAAACTTCCCCTTGCACACTTCTTTTGAATATCAACTAACTCCACCAAAAAAACGTTTCCCATCACGTTCACTTAATTATGTAGTTCCATAAAATAATAGCAATGAACAGGTGCTGACATTTTCCACCTCACAAAGTTACCATTGAGGTAGAAGTCTTAATTTAAGAAAGTGTTAGAGATACCTCCCAACAGTGTAAATTATGAAAGGTAAGTGAAATTTGTCTTAGCTTTCAATCTTCTGACCACTTGATTTATACAATAAAACTGTATGTTAAAAACAAACAGATTAAATAATGAGCATGCATAAGTATTCGATGGTGGTCGTATTTCAGCTATATTAGAGCTGTTCAAAAAAATCTACTGGTAAACTTATTTGAACTTGAGTCTAGAATTCTTGATACATTCAACACAGGCCTCTATTGTATCATCCTATTTTCTGTAATAGGTCTTAATTCACAGAAATCCTCATTTCCAGACAAACGGACATCATCCCCAGAAACTTATCTCATACCACAAATAAGGTTAAAAAATTCTTGCCAAGAGATGCAGAACAAAAAACATTTTCCACTAAGTTATTTGCTTTCCTTCAAGTCCTTCATTTGTCAGTAACATGTTAGTAACAGAACATGAAGCTATATTGATTGATCCTTTTACAACATCTAAGATGGAAAAAAAAACAACCTAAGAGTTGCCAAGTTTTCTGCAATATTTATGTAAGCATAAAAGTAATTTTCTCAAGCACCCTATTTTCCATGTTCCAGTGACCCTGAATGGCACTTGTTCTACACTGGCTTTCCACATAAACAGTTATTCTCAGTGAAGTACAAAGTAGCTTCCCCTTTCCTTTGGAAACTTCAAAGTGAGCAATCACAGACTTTTCTGACACTTGCTAGAAACCATTGTTTCAGTGAAGGAGCTGACTCACCTTTTCCGTGCTGGGCTTTCATCAAGCAGTCTCCAATGAGCTGTATGCACTGATGTTGCAGAACTCTGGCATGACTGAGGACCTGTGAATCTAGTTTCTCTCCTTCTACTTCATCCCCATTTGCCAGATCTGCACTGTAGAGAGTCAAAGCTGCAAACAACAGCCAGGAATAATTGTGGACATACGGCTGGATGAGCCTCTGTCGGTCACTGATTCGAATAGTCACCATCGGATACACTGTGATGCTGTGAGTGGGCAAGTGACTGAAAGAAGAAGGTACATAACTTTGAAATGCAGCTGCTTTCTTGCTAACCAAGTGTAGTTAGTAACACACAACACCTTCACAGGAAACTGCGAAAAACCCAACACATTCCAGAGTTTCAAAATCTGGACCTGTTTTTTAAGATCTTTGGTGTTAAGCACTGAAACCTGTGCTGTCTAACCACAGCAGTGTTTCTTTCTTCTAGCCTATCATTCAGAGTTGGTAACTCTCCTTCTGCAACTTCCACAGCCATGGCTAGAAAACAATTGCTACTAAGTTACTTCGGAGGTTGGGGCAGGTTTCCAAATGGCAGAAATTTTTGCTGAACTGGTCCTATATTTGCTATGTTTCCCCAAAGGACACCAACTGATGTCAGACGCAATCTTGTAGAAAGCAAGATGAGAATGACTGATAGTACTTAGCTGCTAATTATCGCTTTTCTGCCAAGTGAAGGGGGGAAACAAAATCATGTATTTAATACCTGTCAGAGTATTTCTTTGCAGAATAGCATCCATAGCAAAGGTCAAAGTCATCACACACGTTGCAGTTCATTCTCCGACCTATGATAACTCCTTGACAGTGATCACAGGCATACTCCATGTTAACCATTTCATGGTCATCCTCATGTCCTTCAGGTTTAACTCCACCTGCAAAGCAATATTTTAAGATTTTTCTGTAAATACTTTGCGACAAAGGATCTTTCTTAATTTCAAGTTCACGTTCAGATTAGGAAAAGAAAAGCTGAACATTTCTAATACATCCAGAAAAAGAGTCTTTCACTTTATTTTACATATAATTTAGAAGATACTATTTTGCCTTTGAGTATAGGGTTTTGAGGGGTTTGTTAATGATTCTTACCAAGAAAACAAGTTTTACACAGATCCATGTCATTACATTGCAGACAGCGGTAGCGATGCCATGGTGCAATTTCATCACAGCCATCGCAGGATATGTCCACATTTAACAGGTCACAGTAACGAGCAACAAACATGTGCATCTAGAGCAATAAATGGACACAATTTACTTCAGTATTATTTTCTGACTTTGAGAAAGCTCTTTTTAGACAGAAAGCAGAATACTTCCCCTGCCAAAAAAGGATGGGGATCCTTTCATAATTTTAGACTTTTGAAGGCCTACAGGGAGCCAGGGATCCAACTCATGAAAAAAATCAGTTTAAGCTAGATTCCTTTCTCTCCTTTAGGGTTTTAAAAGTCTCCTATTTACCCCTTCTGCAGATAAATAAGCAAATCATGAGGTCACCTTTCTCTGCTTCTCTGGGTCAGCTTGAGCTATCTTTTCATACCAGGTCTCAAACATTACATCCTGACATTCATCCATCCACTCACAGTTTTGCTTGTAGTCTGCAATTTCATCTTCTTCACTCCACTGACTAAAAAGAAAAAGCAAGCTCAAAATTAAATTTGAATGCAATCAGGCTTCCCGCTTAATATAACTTGTGATACTTTTTTATTTTTTAAAGAACAAAGTGCTGTAACATGCTAATAAAAACAGAGTTGTGAGAACTGCAGTTCACTTCGTTAATAAATGACCATATAGACACCTGCTTCTTGCCTCTGTGACAAGTTCTTAAATAGACATGGGCACCATAATGCAAAATCAGAAAAATCTACACTTACAAAACTGCTCTTGGTAATGCTGGCAGATCAGATGAGGCACATTAAAAGCTTTTTGGCCTTCACATTTGCTCATGTGTGAGAACTACAATTACTACAAAATTACAATAGGCAGGTGTTAAAAACATTTGATGTTTATCAAGACAAGAAACAGGATTATCTACTTCCTGCTACACTGCTAAACAATTCAAGTCTTTCAGCAGTAATCAGGTTAAAGATAAAATTTTAATAGTTTTTGCACTAGCAACGCTGCAACAAAGTTTCAAATACTTCAGTTAAGCCCTTGGATACTGGTCAAAATTATGCCATACTTGTTAATCGTACTTTTACTGCTTGTTCCAGCACAAAGTTCAGAAGCCTTTCTTGGTAAAAATGGTATCGACAGTTAATACCATGTGAAAGTTGCCTTCTTCCTGACTCACCAAATGACACTGTCGTGAATACTTATGTTTTCTTGTGATGTAGTCATAAGAAGATGTGGTAACTGAATCTCAACAAAGAAGGAAAGATCGCTCGGTTCCCAACTCATATCCAAAAGGTGAAGGAGAGTTGTCTGCACACATGATAAGGCAGGCAGCAACGACCTAAATAAAAACACAAGACAATAAAACATGACAGCTCTAACCTAAAGTTGAATTTGGGAATTAAGGGCAGACAATCACTATACACTGATTTCCAGGCTTTATTCTGCATTAAATTAACTATGTGGCAGAAGCTCGGGTTTACTAATGCACAAACTTACACAATTTAGCAAGAAGCATAGCCAGCACAATTTGAAATAAAGATAGTATCTTTATGGATTCAGTTGAGATAGAGCTTATGCTATTAGCCCGAGCATTAGCAAGAGGGTTTGTCTCTTCTCTGCAGTACAACATTTTCTTGGTATTTGCAGGAACTTGTTCTCTTTGAAACCTTTGCCATCTTCAGTTGAAATTGAAGAAAGGGCTTGGAAGTTATTGGCAGGGAGACAGACATTACAGTCACAAAATTCTCATTTCTTTAGGACACCCAGCTATAAATTCCAAAATTTCTAACCAGAATGTTACCAAAACATAAGCTCTAACATTAAAGTATGGTTGCAGGATTGCCATATTTATTGTGGTATTACTCTTGCCCAAGTACTCCACAATAAATTTGCTATTTCTAGTATTTTACTACTAAGCTTCAGAAACACATTGCAGAATTATAACTACAAAATGCAGTAAGTCAAGGTTTTAACTGATTAAATTTATTGTGCTTCCCTGCATAGTAGTAATAAAAAGCTAACTTGGCATTTTTGATCACAAGATCAAGGTTTCTTTCTTAGTTCTGTAAATAATGCAAAGTATAGTCAATTAAGGCATTAAACAATAAATAACAAATGACAAGGGAAGAGGTGAGGAAGAACAGGAAAAAAAACCCATCACATAAGTAATGTAAGCAATGTACTGTACCTGTCATTAATAGTACTAAATCCCTTCACAGAATTTACCAGGAACAAAACAAGCTGATAGTAGGACTCTCGAATCTCTTTGTGTAGCTCAGCACCACAGCCTTCCAAGTTTCCAAAGTAGCTAGAAATTAAAGAGTCAGTTTAGTAGTCTAGAATTCACTGTTACATTTTAGGTAGCATGCTTTGTGCAAATTTTACAAACAGGCAATCTTTCAGAGAAAAATAGAAGAATCCTGTACCAGGAATCAGAAGTTAAGAAACAAAACAGGCAAAGAGAATATTCTCATGGCACTAACGACAGAATATTCCTTCAAATTAAAAAGGTGCTTTACAAAAATCTAATCAAGATCTTCAAGGAAATCAGTGCACTGTAAGATGACCAGAAAAAGCTCTTGACAAGCGAGATGCCAGCCGGCAAGAGTTCAGACACACGACAGAAATCAAACCTAAATTCATGAACCAGAACAGCACAGTATTAGCTCCTGCTTTGAGATAGTACACTCTAGTTGTACACAAAATTTGAAAAAAACCAAAATAAAAACCCCAAAACCGAACTTCCAGGATATCTTTCCTTACTTAGAACAACAGCTGCACATGCATATAATCAATTTGATCCTTTTTGCCTCTTTTTTCTGTGCGCATGTGCATGCCCCATAACTGGTACATGACTAACAGCACTGCGGACCTCAGCTTGCACATCCATCACCTTAGTCTCTGCCACACGAGTGTAGTATATCACCCCACAATAAAAAGTTGTCTTGTACAGTTATCACATCCAAAGTCATGAAAATTCATGAACAAACAAATGCTTGACTAACAAGATATAACATGCACCATTCCTGGAAGTTAGCTGTTCTGCCAGATAGGTATTTTCTTGATTTACAAGGTAAGTTCACAAAAATTATAAAGATGCAATGCTACATAAGTAATTACAAGCTAAGTGGGTACATAAGTGGGTACATAAGTAATTTTGTATATTACTGGATGAGAAAGAAACCAATCTAGAATTACACAGGAACTTAAACTAAAGCAACAACTGAAGGTTCTACAATCTTTTTGAATCTGTTGTGATCTGGTTGGAACTGAAAAAATGTTTCTAGGTGTACACGCTGTGATTCAACCACATGATACCCACCCTAGCAGCATGAATAGCTGTACAACTAATTCCCACTTGAAAATAATTATTGATTTTTTTTTATTTTTTTTTAAAAATGAAGAACACAAGATACATATAGTAGCCTAAATACTAATCCTCAGATCATATTTTTATTATCCATATGGATTAAAAAGCAATAACTTTTTACAGTTTTCAATATACATGACTGGGAGAACACAAGGACTAAGATATTAAATCACATGGCTGAGACTTGTCCAAATAATTACTTACTTTGTAAAATCTTTCTGACAGGCTAGAAGTTCTAAGAGAAAAAGTACACATGGTGGATGAAAACAGTGTGGCTGCCCAAGTGAGTCTAGGCACTGGCGGATTGTCTTGAGCACTTCCATAATATTCTGCCCTTGGGATTTTCTCAGAGCAAGAACCTTTAAAACACTAAGAAAAGCAAAAAACATCTATGAGGACTTCAAAACATCGTGCTCAAAATAAGCCAAATAAATCACCATTCAAGAAGTACTTGACTCATTAAAGAGCAGATTGGTATCTAAGTTTTCAGTTGCATTTCAGCAGAGGTATATTACAGCTGGAGTCAGTAACAAAGCTTCAAACAGAATCCAGCACTTCCTGCACCAGTCCAAGTTTTAGAGCCTAAAATATTCAAGCTGAGAATTGGAAAACTCTCTTTTTATTTACATTTTCAGAATACCAGGTAATTTAATGAGAGATGCAACTATGCTATATTTAGTATCAAGGATCGCTAGTGCTGCTATACCATGCCTTTGCTGTTTGTAGATAAAAAGCAAAATGCCACTGCAAACAGATCTCAGGAAGCAAGACAACAGGTTGCCAAATAATTGTTTTTTACATTCTGAAGTTCTACATGACAGAAGTGAAACAAAGGGAATAGTACTCTCTATAAGCCTCTACATGGTTGAGAATAACTGAAGTTTGATACATAAATCTGGTAACTATTCATGTACAAAATGTTTTTCAATACTATCTTGCAGCTAAAATATGTTTTATTCCACCTGAAGAGGTGTGAAGACAAGTTTCTGTATTTTATAATCGGCAACGTTTTCAATTTGCTTACCTTTCATGCGAAAGTGATTGATCCTTAATAAAGTCTAATATGTTTTTCAATATAGGATATTTTTCCTTCACAGTAGGCACAGCTCTTGGCTCTTCCATTGATCTGAAAGACAGCAGCCTTAGTCTTCCACGGCTGAACTGAGATTTTCGTGTAGGAGTGGAAGGAGGTGATGATACATCTTCTTGCTGTGAAACTGTATTTTCAACAGGCTTGCTAGGAAATGCAGATGCTTCTTCTGTATGGAGGGGGTCTGGAACTTGTTTAATCTTCGTATCAGATTGTGTCATTTGGCTCCTCTCTTTTGAAACAGGATGAGTTACTCCATTGGATGACAATGAGTGTGCTGCCTGGAAATCTGTGTCCACAACAGAACCTTTTCTTTGGTGTTTATCACTGACATATTGTTGGGTATCATCAATGTCTTGGGGTTCCAAACTGTCTAAAGCCGCATCTTTCGTCTTTGCTCTTACAGGCAAAAAATTCAGTAACAAAAGGCTCTTCTGCATACAAAGTTTTGCTGCAGCATAAAAATTGGAAGACTTAAAATCATGACAATAGATCACCAAACTTGCTATCTTCTGCTTAGGAAGAAAGTGATTTATTTCATTTCTTCTGAGCCAAGACAGCTAGAAAATACTACTTTTCTTGTAATATTGTTCATGACACTATTAGTTACTTAATTCTAGTGTTCCAAATGCTAAACTTGAAAAATCACACTGAATCGTATGAAGTATACAGTAGTCAATGAGAACACATTTTATTCTAGTAACAATCAGCTGCTATTCTAACATCAGTTAATTGTGGTAACAAGTATCTACAAAAATAGACAAACATAAGTTCAGAACCAGGCGACTCAAGTAAAAGGTCACTCCCTGTAGAATTTTCTCATGTACTATTTTCTGCAAAGAATAGCAGAACACAATCCCAGTAGTTCATGTAATGTACACTAGTTTATCCTTTAAGGTATTAAAAAGTAACCCCAGTTGTTAACTGACCTTTTATAGCAAAAAGTAATGTCCAAGATTAACAAGGCAATGCTTTACTAAACTACCTAGAATGCTTATACATTTGGCAATGCAACACTTACCAAGAGTTTCTGGGTTCACCTCACTTGCTTCTGTGTTCTGCTTCTCCTCAGTATCATTTCCCCTACCCATCAGGGATTTCTGCTTCATTTCCAACTGTAGACAGGGTGTTAAAATAGTTAAAATGACTCCCCCATATATCTATACAGCAAGGCAGTATGAAGGCTGCATCACATTAAAAGAATTTAATCTCAGGAACAGACAACAGTATTTATTATTCCCTACTGCAGAACAAAACACTCAGTAGTCTAAAAGAGCACTACCTAAACTATCAGAGCAGATTACACAGCCTCATACTGAGATGCTCAAGGTTTGTAGGCTGAGACCCTTCCCTGCCTTGTGACTGGATATGCATCAGCCCTCCAAGAAAAAGGCTTCCCCTTTACTCCCACCACTCAGGAAAAGATAGACATCTAGTCATGAGACAAGATTCTCCAAAAGCATCATGTCATCTAACCAGTGAGTACTGCCAGATGCAAACATCAATTGTCATGCAACAGGTACAATGCAATTACTCATCTTAACGCGCATCTGCACTCACTGCATCTCTAGTGTGTCAAGCTGCCAGGAATTCTTGCAGGCAGGAAAGAGGAGGTAGGAGGTCACACTAGAACAGTTAATTTGGTTGGCCCACATCTGAAGGGCTCACAAGAATACCAGAAAAGCAGGCCATAGACTGAATTAGCAATTCTCAAAGACCACACAGTTAACATTCAGAATCTCCTGCAGGCTAATGAAATCTAAATGAATTTTGGCTCTCCACAGCTGCGTGTGATGATGCAGACACCTCTCACCAGGTTGTGAGCTGATGACACCAGCTCCTGACATAAGGTATATGCTTCAAGGAAAATTACATGCCAAAAACATACTCTGAACTGAAGCCAGTTACTCGCTTGTCAAAGCAGCAATTATTTCCTTTTCTATTAGCACTGCATTACTGTGAGAATGATGTTTAAGACAGATTTCTTTCTATGCTATACCTCAAAAGAACTCCAACTGCTATGTAAGAATCTTCCGAATTAACAACACACATCTTGCTGAAAAATAACACAAATTTAACTGATTTTGAGTCAAATTCAGACCTAAATACTCATGATGACACACCTGGGGCTGAGGGAAGGAGGGGAATGTAAGAATGCATTTAAATGTTCAAAGTTTAGAAGTGAATATATATTCTTCCTAAGTGAAAACAGTTGATCTAGAGTTACTGAAGGAAAACATGGTTCCACCCTTAACATTGCATTGTAACATATTAAGGTAAATGACATTAACATATATCCTCCTGAGTGATCTTACCATCCATATTCTAATTGAATCAGCCAGGGAATATACTTGTGCAAACTCATCACTCAAAGGCACCTTGCCTCCACTGTTGACTGGAAACGAGAAAAAGAAGAGTCCTGTTTATTTACAGCTCCATTTTTACACAACTTGACTACTTAACTAAAATTATGCTAGAGCTGTCCCTTCATCTTAGTCAATATTTGGAATTATGCCTGCAAGAAAAATAGGGAATAAAACCTGCCAGCCTTCATATGCCTTAAATATATAAGCTGCGCCTTGACAGTTATTTGCAAAGTTAAATTATGAATATATTTCTCATCTCTTCCTCGAACTGATGCCTGCAGCCATGGAAAATAAGAACCTCTCTCTATACATACAAATATCACTAATGCAAACTGCTATCAGAATAATCAAGAAATGCTTAGTGTTAACTTAAAGCTCTATAGATGTATTTAGTTATCAATTTTTTTCCTCTTTTGTTTTCTGAATTTCTGGAATGGACTTCCAAGATCAATTTACAAAAATTAAAGACCTGACAAAACAGTTTCCATCAAAACTGGCCTGACAATGACGATGGAGAAAAAGACATTCCTATTCAGGGTCTTCCCTCTCCCATTCCACCATTTTAATTTTTTTTTCCCCCCTTTTCAGCATCACTGTACATACTTCACATGGCATAGGTGAACATGGGTCCTGAAATCAGTCTGACAGACGAAGACTGACAGATGAAGCTATTAACATAACAGTAGGCTGGATATCTTATCCACTCGTCATTATTTTCCTGAGCTACCAGTTTTCAATCTTACTCTGAAAGTTAGATCAATTGTCAGACATAGCCAAAATGACTAAAGGCAATAACCACTTTAGTCATCAAGTTAGTCTTTTTACCCATAATTTTATAATCCAAAATGCAAGATATTTAGCTTCAAAATTGTGACAGAGTGAAAGCCTAAAATGAAACCCTTCAAAACCAAGTAACACCTTATTATCCAACACTTCAAACATATCAATAAGCTTAATGAAAGGATGGTGTAAGTTAAAAAGTTGTTGATTTTACCTACTGAAAAATATATAAATTGTAATACAATGGACATTATACAAGTTAGAAGCAAAAAATTGCCTTTCATTAAAAAAAAAAATTAAAAAAAAATTGTATATTTTGACGATGCCAAGGTTAGTTTTCACAGTATAACATTTTGGGAGGTAATTCCACCTCCTCCACTCCCAACATTTAAAAACATATATAAGTTGGTACTGGCTTTTTAGAAAAGATACGAGAGTGGAAAATGACATAAGAACCTCTGATCTCTGGGAGCTACATTGTTCTGAATGAAAACTCCAGAGGACATCACTACTCGCTCTAGGTATGTCCTTATAAGGCTTAGTCAGTACCTGATGATGGTTATTAATATTTGGACAGAGCTCTGAAGATAAAAGCATATATTAATAAAAAATAAACACTCTAGAGATAAGGCTTACCTAGTCTACCTAAATGATGACTTCTTTATACAGAGCAACTTTTTAAAAATTATCACACTAAACTGATTTTTCAAAGTTTATAAACTGAACTATAAGATAGCCTTTTACAAACTTTAGGTCTTCATTATTAAGATAGTCTAATATTAGAGTTACCATATTTCTGAAGCTTCTCATATAAATCTGGAGTGAGATACACCAAAGCAGCAAATGTTGAGTTCACAGCTTGATCAACAGTAGAACCAGCAACTATATCTGTCTTTGGGGTCTGTTTTTTACATGCCTGTATAAGTCCTTTGAAAAGTTCAGATTTTTGCCCACTGAAGTCCTGGGCAGGATCTGATTTTGCAAAGTTGATAAGAAAGTTACGGCAGTCATCCTCGTGAGAGCTCCTAGCCTGGAAAGAATGTTAGAAAACATTTACTTTAATATTATCTGAAAAATTGGTGCAGCTCATTTCTACAATTAAGTCAACTTGGGGGATATCTACTGCAGTTGAGCTATCTGATCTAAGGAAAGATGTCCCTGCTCAAGGTGGGGGGGTGAATTAGATGATCTTTGAAGGTGCCTCCCAACCATTCTATGATTCTATGAAAACGGAAACTAATAAAGGGCACAGAACAACAGTTTCTTTCCTCCTTGATATTTGAATTAAATAGCGGTAAGTGATGACAACTTCAGCACAACAGCATATGCTTAAGGAAGTATCAACTAATTAAGTCTGCATGAAACTGTGTGATACATAGGGATTTCATGCCAATGAAACAAAAGCAGTGGTGGAAGTACCTGTTTTTTATCTCGGTGCAGTTTACTGCTTTGACTGGCTCCCGGGAGTGCCTCAGGACACATCTGATGCCTGAAGACAGGTTTCCACAGAGGAGAATTAAGAACTGATGTTACTTTCAAAGGAGGCAAGTCTGCTTCACTACCTAGTTCTGCAAGAAATTCAGAACAGACACTTCAGTTACTAAATATTTTTGTTCATTTTTAAAGATTAATGAAAATAATAACTGTTAAACATCCAGTAGGGAAAAAAAACAAATAGACTGAACAAGTAATTTAACAACTATCTCTAACTTCTCTTTCTCTAATGTGGCACAGAAAATTGATGTACTCTTTCTTTAATGATAGCATCAATATCTTACCTTATAGTGACAATATGTTACATTATGGAAGGACTTTTAATTAAATATTTTTACTGTACTTATAACCGTAGAAACTCCCCAATTTGCAAGAGAGTTTAAAAAGCTTTTTTCCTACTAAAGTTATAATAATTTGCTATATGTAAGCATGCTCATATAAGAAAGGAAGAAAATATTCTATGACAAGAACACTTCAAAGTTCCCTAAATCCACAGGTAAGTACCTGCCTTATTTTCCAAGGTAAATACTGATCAACTGATTGCAGCAAGAACTCTTTAACCTTGTTTAATTTCTCCAAAGAGGTGAATGAAATCAGATTTAGGAAGCTAGATAGAAGTATTCTGATCTTGAAATTAAAGAATAAACAACTCTTCCCACTCCCCCCTTATGGCACCCATCTCATATTTTGCATTTTACTTATCTTTAGTGGCCCAAGTCCTAAGCGTACCTAACTTCTGGAATTAGCCAAACTTAAATTGCAAATTCAGATTTAAATTAATACCAAATGCTCATGTGAAACTTTTTAAAACATTTGTGTGCTAATCTCTGTATTTTTTTCAGTTTGCTAGCTCCATATTCACATCTCGAATATGGGGTGGATCACAGCACTAGGGAACAATTTTAAAAGAAAAAAAGACCAGGAAGAACAGAAGATTGGGCAAACTCTGATATTACTTCATAAATGTAATTCAGCTTAGTATGATTACTGCCAGGTGTCCATGTCTTCCTAACATTGGCTTCTGAATATTAGAGAAATCACAGTGATGCCTGTGGCATTCTCAGAGTGATCCCATGGAACAGCAGCCAGGCTTGCCACAAAAAGTGGGTATAGCCAATGACCAAACTTTGTTGAGCAATACAGCAAGTCTTCTACCTTCAGTCAAGAGAGAAATACAAAAGGAACTTTATTTTCACAAGGGATTCGAAACATGAGGTCCTTGCATCTCCTCTTTATAAGGCATCACAACTTCTGGAGCTATTAAATGCACTCACCTCGTAGAGATTTCAGCGCCATGCTTCGGGAAGCCAAACGCCCCATCAACCGGGATACAAGAAGCTGTAAATCCAAGCCCCAAGAAACGGCAACATCTGGCAGGCCATAAGCAGTGACGGAAAACTTGTAGCCCCACTCATTATTACTGCTGTCAGAGTGAAAGAGAAACTGCAGCCGTGGGCCAGCCTTAAAGGTCACTTTCTACAGAGCAACAAAACAGTCATTTTGCCAAATGTACATGACAGGAAGACGTTTCAGGGTAATGAATTTCCTTCAGCAACTTGTTTTTCAGTATTACGTTCTGTCCATAACAGATCTAATCTCCCCCACCATCTGAATAAGAAATCCACAATACTAAGCAGGTAGAATTTCTATTCAATAGCTTAATGAGAAATTTTATAGTCTATTTGAGCTCCAGAAGCCAGAGCCATAAAACAATTCAGAAGCAGCCCATTTGAGTAGGTGTCACTGAAAAAAAAAGTGTAACTGCAGGAAGCACTACACTTGTCTCATGATGTAAAAAATTGTGAGGGAAGAGGGTCTACGAGTAAGTTTTACCCATGTAGTTACTGGCAGTTAAATATGATTATTACTTTTCATTTTGACTGACTGCTCCTTTGGTAACAACAACAAAGAGTGATTCTTTACTCATTCACTCCTTTTATTTGCATCATTGAAGACCTTCTTCCTCACCTCCTGCTCCCCACCTTTGAGAGTAAATAAACACACACACGCGCATGAAAGCACACACCCTTTCAGACAACAGGTTTATCACAAGAATCATAAGAGTTTCCAAAGATTGAATCCATCACTTGGCTGAGAATTTTAAAGGTGCTCACCTTAGGCCACTTCTCAGTGCCAACCTTTGTATCGTAACGAGTTTTTGCACCTCTGGCATCAGTAAACTCCAGGTAATCATACCTGTGAAAATTGCAATTCATTACTTCCAAATTTACTTTCTAAGTTTTGGGGGAAAATGTTTGCTTTTGGATTTGCACAAGTGCTGCATCTCAATGTATCCTGTCACATCTTTCTGAACAAGACCTGCATTGCTTCATGTGACTGTAAAGGAATTTATTTCACGTTTCAAGGCAATAGTCCCAGCAAACACAGACCTGCATTCCCACAGAACTTTCTCAACCTTTCAGAATTGGTAACGGGTGCTAATTTTAACATGTGGCGTATGCCTTAACTAAACAGTAGCCTGATACGTTACCAAGAGAAACCAAGCCAATAGTTTTGCCTAAAGAGGACAAAATAAATACCACAAGCACAAACTGTGGTGGTCACAGCAATATTACGAAATAGATCAAGGCCAAAGGAAGCAAAATTCATACGAACAGTACGTCTGTACATTTGCCAGGAGAATTGGCTTCCAGCACGATAAGTCATTCAAAATAACACATTGTATATTACAGAGGACAATGAAGAAATTGAAATGGCATGCTTGGAGTGCAAGAGGTATTCCTTGCACATTGAAACATGAATTGCCCCTATGCAAATAGATATTGGAATCTAACACAGCACAAGATTAAATTACCTCCTTTCAGTTTCACATTTTTCATCAAATTCCACCTCAAAGTAAGTTGCTCCATGGCATAGGAAGACTGAGACCTCATGGCAGTTATTTTCATAGTTATGAGGCGATTCCATTGTCCATGTTCGCAATACCACAGGCTGTTCTTGCTGCCAGCTTTCCATTTCCATCTGCAGAACAAAAACATATTCTTGAGATACAAATGTAAAGCATTTTAAAAAAAAGAAAATTACCATACTGAATTTTTGTGTCTATACTTTCAAGTTGCCAGATGTACATACAAAGTGGCGGGTCCTACATTTCAGTCACAAAACCCCCATGCAGCGTTACAGGCT